GTTTCGCCACACAGTGGCTTCATCAGTCCATACAAAGGAGGAATCTTGAAGAACAGGAGGAGAATGAGGTAATCGTCCCTCAACCTTGATGGACTGAACACATCGACCAAGGTTTTTAGGAACTGATTACCTCATTTTCCTCCTGTTCTTCAAGTTTCTTCCCACGTATGGACTGATGAAGCCACTGTGTGGCGAAACGTTTCCTCAATAAAGATACCCAAAAAGTTGCACATGTGTCTAATTTATCAGGGTGGAAAAATGTTGTCAAGGAGGAAAAGTGTTGTCAGTGGGTGAGTGTTGTCAGGGAGGCAGTGTTGTCAGGGATGACAGTGTTGTCAAGGAAACAGTATTGTCAAGAAGGACAGTGTTGTTAGGAAGGACAGTGTTGTCAGGGAGGACAGTGTTGTCAGGGAGGACAGTGTTGTCTGGGAGGACAGTGTTGTCAGCGTGGAAAAATGTTGTCACTGACAAGAGTGTTGCCAGGGAGGAGAGAGATATCAGGGAGGACAAATGTTGTCATGGAGGGACAGTGTTGTCAGGGAGGACAGTGTTTTCAGGGAGGACGTGTTTGTCAGAGGGGCAGTGTTGTCAGCGTGGAAAGTTTGTCACTGACAAGAGTGTTGTCAGGGAGGAGAGAGATATCAGGGAGGACAGTGTTGTCAGGGAGGACAGTGTTCTCTGGGAGGGACAGTGTTGTCAGCGTGGAAAGTGTTGTGACTGACAAGAGTGTTGCCAGGGAGCAGAGAGATATCAGGGAGGACAGTGTTGTCAGGTTGGAGAATGTTGTCAGGGGGGACAGTGTTGTCAGGGAAGGCAGAGTTTTTAGTGTGGACATTGATGTCAGGGTGAATAATTTTCTCAGGGTGGAGTGTGTTGTCAGGGTGGACAGTGTTGTCAGAGTGAACAATGCTGTCAGGGTGGACAGTGTTGTCAGAGTGAACAATGTTGTCAGGGTGGATAGTGTTGTCAGGGTGGACAATGTTGTCCGGGAGGACAATGTTGTCAGGGTGGAAAATGTTGTCAGGGTGGACAGTGTTGTCAGCGTGGACAATGTTGTCAGGGTGGACAATATTGTCAGGGTGGACAGTGTTGTCAGGGTGAACAGTGTTGTCAGTGTGGACAGAGTTATCAAGAAGGAGAGTGTTGTCAGCGGAGACAGTGTTGTCAGGGTGGACAGTGTTGTCAGTGTGGACAGAGTTATCAAGGAAGGCAGTGTTGTCAGTGGAGACAGTGTTGTCAGTGTGGACAGTTTTGTCAGGGTGGACCGTGATGTCAGGCACTCCAGTGATATCACTGAAAATGTTGTCAGAGAAAAGCGTTGTCACAGTGGACATTGTTGTCAGGAACGACAGCGTTGTCAGTGAGGACAGTAATATCAGGGAGGACAGTGTTGTCAGCATGGAAAGTGTTGTCACTGACGAAAGTGTTGTCAGGGAGGAGAGAGATATCATGGAGGACAGTGTTGTCTGGGAGGAAAGTGTTGTCTGGGAGGGCAGTGTTGTCAGGGAGGGCAGTGTTGTCAGGGAGGGCAGTGTTGTCAGGGAGGGCAGTGTTGTCTGGGAGGAAAGTGTTGTCTGGGAGGGCAGTGTTGTCAGGGAGGGCAGTGTGGGCAGGGAGGGCAGTGTTTGTCAGGGAGGGGAGTGTTGTCAGAGAGAGCAGTGTTGTCAGGGAGGGCAGTGTTGTCAGGGAGAGCAGTGTTGTCAGGGAGGGCAGTGTTGTCAGGGAGAGCAGTGTTGTCAGGGAGGGCAGTGTTGTCAGGGAGAGCAGTGTTGTCAGGGAGGGCAGTGTTGTCAGGGAGGGCAGTTTTGTCAGGGGGGCAGTGTTGTCAGGGAGCAGTGTTGTCAGGAGGGCAGTGTTGTCAGGGAGGGGAGTGTTGTCAGGGAGGCAGTGTTGTCAGAGAGAGCTGTTGGTCAGGGAGGGCAGTGTTGTCAGGGAAGCAGTGTTGTCAGGGAGGGCAGTGTTGTCAGGAGGAGCAGTGGTTGTCAGGGAGGGCAAGTTTTGTCAGGGGGGCAGTGTTGTCAGGAGGGCAGAAATTTTCAGGGATGACAGTGTTTTTTCAGGGAAGCAGGATTTGTCAGGGTGAACAGTGCTATTTCCTCAGATAGAGGGTGTCAGCGTGAACAGTGTTGTCAGGGACAACAGTGTTTTTTCAGGGGTGGATAGTGTTGTCGGTAGGAACAGGGTTTGGGGGTTGTTGTAGGGGAGGACAGTGTTGTCAGAGGCAATGTTGTCAGGTAGGGCGTGTTGTCAGGTAGGACAGTGTTGTCATGGTGGATGATGATGTCGAGTGGACTTGTGTAAAGGGGGGACAGTGTTGTCAGGTGGACAGTTTTTGTCAGGGGGGGCGTGCTGTCAGGATGGACAGTGTTGTCAGGGTGGCCCGTGCTTGTAGGGTGGACAGTGTTGTCTGGGTGGACAGTGTTGTCAGGGTGGATAGTGTTGTCAGCGTGGATAGTTTAGTCAGGGTAGACAGTGTTGTCAGTTTGGATAGTGTTCTCAAGGTGGACAGTGATGCCAGGGTGAACAATGTTGTCAGGTTGGGCAGTGTTTTCAGTGTGGATAGTGCTGTCAGAGTAGACAGTGTTGGAAGGAAGGAGAGCGTTTTCAGTTTGGACAGTGTTGTCAGAGTGGACAGTGTTGACAGGGTGGACAGAGTTTTCGGGATGGACAGTGTTGTCAGGGTGGACAGTGTTCTCAGGGTGGACAGTGTTGTCAGCGTGGATAGTGTTGTCAGGGGAGACAGTGTTGTCACGGTGGACAGTGATGTCAGGGCATATACAGTGTTGTCAGGGTGGACAGTGTTATCAATGTGGATAGGGTTGTTAGTGAGGACAATGTTGTCAGGGTAGACAGAGTTGTCAAGGTGGATAGTGTTGATAGGGTGGACAGTACCCAACTAGCATCATCACACACAGTAAGACACAGTACACAACTAGCACCATCACTCACAGTACGACACAGTACACAACTAGCACCATCACACACAGTACGGGACACGTACACAGCTTTGGCAACATCATCACAGTACGACACAGTACACAACTAGCATCATCACACACAGTAAGACACAGTACACAACTAGCATCATCACACACAGTAAGACACAGTACACAACTAGTATCATCACACACAGTAAGACACAGTACACAACTAGCATCATCACACACAGTAAGACACAGTACACAACTAGCAACATCACTCACAGTACGACACAGTACACAACTAGCACCATCACACACAGTACGACACAGTACACAACTAGCAACATCACACACAGTACGACACAGTAACAACTAGCACCCTCACCACAGTAGACCCCAGTACACAACTAGCATCATCACTCACAGTAAGACACAGTACACAACTAGCATCATCACACACAGTAAGACACAGTACACAACTAGCATCATCACACACAGTAAGACACAGTACACAACTAGCATCATCACACACAATAAGACAAGTACACAAAATAGCATCATCGCAAAAACGTAAGACACAGTACACAACTAGCATCATCGCACACAGTAAGACACAGTAAACAACTAGCATCATCGCAAAACAGAAAGACACAGTACACAACTATCATCATTTACCACACAGTACGACACAGTGCACAACTAGCATCATCACAACAGTAAGACACAGTACACAATAGCAACATCACACACAGTAAAACACAGTACACAACTAGCGTCATCACACACAGTAAGATACAGTACACAACTAGCATCATCACACACAGTAAGATACAGTACACAACTAGCATCATCACACACAGTATGACACAGTACACAGCTAGCATCATCACACACAGTATGACACAGTACACAACTAGCATCATCACACACAAATAAGATACAGTACACAAAATAGCATCTCACACACGTATGACACAAATACACAGCTAGCATTATTACACACAGTAAGATACAGTACACAACTAGCAAACCCTCACAACGGTAAGACACAGTACAACAACTAGCACCATAAAACACAGTAAGACTTAGTACACAACTAGCACATCACACACAGTAAGACACAGTACACAACTAGCACCATCACACACAGTAAGACTTAGTACACAACTAGCACATCAACAAAACAGTAAGACCCCGGTACAAAACTAGCATCATCACAAGAGTAAGACCACGGTACAAAAAATAGCACAATCACACAGAGTAAGACACGGTACAAAACTAGCATCATCACACACAGTAAGACACCGTACACATCTAGCATCATCACACACAGTAAGACACGGTACACAACTAGCACCATCACACAGAGTAAGACACGGTACACAACTAGCACCATCACACAGATTAAGACACGGTACACAACTAGCACCATCACACAGAGTAAGACACGGTACACAACTAGCACCATCACACAGAGTAGACACGGTTCACAACTAGCACCAAACACACAGAGTAAGACACGGTACACAACTAGCAACCATCCACAGAGTAAGACACGGTACTCAACTAGCACCATCACACAGAGTAAGACACGGTTTCTCAACTACACCATCACACAGGGGTAAGACACGGTACTCAACTAGCACCATCACACAGAGTAAGACACGGTACACAACTAGCACCATCACACAGAGTAAGACACGGTACACAACTAGCACCATCACACAGAGTAAGACACGGTACACAACTAGCACCATCACACAGAGTAAGACACGGTACACAACTAGCACCATCACACGATTAAGACACGGTACTCAACTAGCACCATACACAGAGTAAGACACGGTACTCACTAGCACCATCAAAACAGAGTAAGACCGGTACACAACTAGCATCACACAGAGTTAAGACACGGTACTCAAACTAGCCCCATCACACAGAGTAAGACACGGTACACAACTAGCACCATCACACAGAGTAAGACACGGTACACAACTAGCACCATCACACAGAGTAAGACACGGTACTCAACTAGCACCATCACACACAGTAAGACACAGTACAGAGTGAAACACTTACTGAGCCGCTTAAGTTGAGGTAGTGTGGAGGTCACAGTGTGGTGTAGTTGTGGCAGAAGACAGCCAGCATGGTAGTCACTCACCACAGCCAGGTGAAAGTCCCTCAGCTTATTACACTCCTCCAACAGTCTCACTCCTCCACCAGTAAGACAACCCATGAAGTCCTCCAGGTGTCTCCTGTACCAGGATAAAACACTGATGAACACCTTACACTTACCGACTCATCACTTACACTGTATATTACACCAAGTGGTAGTGAACAATGTTACACTGTATATTACACCAAGTGGTAGTGAACAATGTTACACTGTATATACACCAAGTGGGGAGTGAACAATGTTACCTGTATATTTCACCAAGTTTGGTAGTGAACAATGTTACACTGTATATTACACCAAGTGGTAGTGAACAATGTTACACTGTATATTACACCAAGTGGTAGTGAACAACACTACACTGTATATTACACCAAGTGGTAGTGAACAACACTACACTGTATATTACACCTAGTGGTAGTGAACAACGTTACACTGTATAATAACCAAGTGGTAGTGAACAAAGTTACACTGTATATTACACCAAGTGGTAGTGAAAAATGTTACACTGTATATTACCAAGTGGTAGTGAACAATGTTTTCACTGTATATTACAAACCAAGTGGTAGTGAACAATGCTACACTGTATATTACACCAAGTGGTAGTGAACAATGCTACACTGTATATTACACCAAGTGGTAGTGAACAATGTTACACTGTATATTTTCACCAAGTGGGGAAAGGAACAATGTTACACTGTATATTACACCAAGTGGAAGTGACAATGTTACAATGTATATTACACCAAGTGGGAGTGAACAATGTTACACTGTATATTACAAACCCAAGTGGTAGTGAACAATGTTACACTGTATATTACACCAAGTGGAAGTGAACAATGTTACACTGTATATTATACCAAGTGGGAGTGAACAATGTTACACTGTATATTACACCCCCAAATGGTAGTGAAAAATGTTACACTGTATATTACACCAAGTGGTAGTGAACAATGTTACACTGTATATTACACCAAGTGGTAGTGAACAATGTTACACTGTATATTACACCAAGTGGTAGTGAACAATGTTACACTGTATATTACACCAAGTGGTAGTGAACAATGTTACACTGTATATTACACCAAGTGGTAGTGAACATGTTACACTGTATATTACACCAAGTGGTAGTGAACAATGTTACACTGTATATTATACCAAGTGGTAGTGAACAATGTTACACTGTATATTATACCAAGTGGTAGTGAACAATGTTACACTGTATATTTAAAACCAGTGGTAGTGACAATGTTACACTGTATATTACACCAAGTGGTAGTGAAAAATGTTACACTGTATATTACACCAAGTGGTAGTGAACAATGTTACACTGTATATTACACCAAGTGGTAGTGAACAACGTTACACATTATTATACCCATGGAAAACATCACTTATACTATTATACTGGGTATAATGTAAGTGATGTTTCTGGGTATAATAAAAAGTGAGCTTATATGGGTATTTATAAGTGATCTTATTTGGATTTACATTAGTGATCTTACATGGGTATAATATAAGTGATCTTTAATCTTTCAACTTGTCGGTTTTTTCAAAACCATTCATCACAACTGTCAGAAAACTGCAGCATCATGGGAAACTTCTTACAAAGAATTCTTCAACACTTGTTCAACCTTTGGACAAAGACCTACTTCGACTAGTGGATGGTACCACTATGACCCCGCCTCCGCCTGCTTCATCTCACCAGCATAAAGTACATAAGCCACGTCTACGGCCCTATGCTGTACATGCTTCAAGATTGATGGACTGAACACATCGACTCCAGGCTGAGGGACTGATTACCTCAAACTCCTCCTCTCCTTACACCTTCCAGCTTTGTATTGGACTGATGAAGCCACTGTGTGGCGAAACGTTTGCTGAATAAAGATTCCCATATGCTGCATAAGTGTCTCAATCTTCAACTTGTCGGTTTTTCAAACCAGTCATCACTTCCATCATGTCTCCCCTTATTCTTCGTCTAACAGGTGAATGTAATTTAAGGGTCTTCAATCTTTCTTCATAAGGAAGATTTCTAATGCTATGTATTAATTTAGTCATCCTACGCTGAATGTTTTCTAACAAATTTATGCCCATTCTGTAATATGGAGACCAGAATTGAGCTGCATAATCTAGGTGAGGCCTTACTAATGATGTATAAAGCTGCAGTATAACCTCTGGACTTCTGTTGCTTACATTTCTTGATATAAATCCCAGTAACCTGTTTGCCTTATTACGTACGATTAGGCATTGCTGTCTTGGTTTAAGATTACTGCTTACCATAACCCCCAAGTCCTTTTCACAATCTGTATGGCTAAGCTCTACATTATTTAGCTTATAAGTGCTAGGGTTGTAGACACTCACGAGCTTCAGAACCTTACATTTATCCACATTAAACTGCATCTGCCACTTTTCTGACCAGGTATTGAGTTTGTCTAAACCGTCCTGGAGTTCCCTGATATCTACGTTTGAATCAATTATCCTACCTATCTGTGTGTCATCGGCGAATTTGCTCATATCACTAGTAATTCCCTCATCAAGATCATTGATATATATTACAAACAACAACGGGCCCAAGATTGATCCCTGTGTGAACGTCACTTGTTACAGATCCCCACTCGGATTTAACCCCATTTATGGACACTCTCTGCTTCCTGTCTGTGAGCCATGATTCGATCCATGACAGCACTTTTCCCTCAATGCCATGAGCAACCACTTTCTTTAACAGTCTCTGGTGCGAAACTCTATCAAAAGCCTTACTAAAATCAAAGTAAATAATATCAAATTCTTTATCGTGATCAACGGCCTCAAAAGCTTTACTGAAGAAAGTTAATAAATTAGTTAGACAAGACCGGCCTCTTGTGAATCCATGCTGAGTATCATTAACCAGATTATGCTTATCCAGATGGCTTCTTATAGTCTCAGCTATAATTGGCTCTAGTAATTTGCCTACAATTGAGGCCAGGCTTATTGGGCGGTAATTTGACAGTAACGACTTGTCCCCTGATTTAAAAATAGGAATTACATTAGCCATCTTCCACATATCAGACACTACACCTGTTTGAAGAGATAAATTAAAAATATTAGTTAATGGTTCACAGAGTTCCATTTTGCATTACTTAAAAACCCTTGAAAAAAGTTCATCAGGTCCCGGTGACTTATTTTGTTTCAGACGATCTGTTTGTTTCTTAACCATTTCACTAGTGACTGTGATGTTACATAATTTATCTTCTTCAGGCCCACTATAAACACTAATTACTGGAATATTGTTAGTGTCTTCCTGTGTAAAAACCGAGAGAAAATAATTATTTAAAATCGAGCAAATTTCATTCTCCTTGTCAGTAAGATGTCCAGAGTTACTTTTAAGGGGACCTATCTTATCTCTAACTTTTGTTCTTTAAACCTGGAAAAAACTTTTTGGGTTAGTTTTAGAATCCCTAGCAACTTTAATTTCGTAGTCCCGTTTAGCTTTTCTTATCCCCTTTTTAACGTCCCTCTTAATGTCAATATTCTGATTCGTAGGATGACTCTCACCTCTTTTGATACGCCTGTAAATTCCTTTCTTATTGCCCTAAAAGATATTTGAGCCTATTATTCATCCATTTTGAATCATTTCCGTTTGATCTAATTTCCTTATAAGGGATAAACGTTCTTTGAGCAGCATGTATTGTGTTCAGAAAACTGTCATATTGATAGCTCTCTTCGTTACCCCAGTCAACAGATGATAAGTGTTCTCTAAGCCCATCGTAATCTGCTAAGCGAAAATCTGGGACTGTTACTGAGTTATCCCTACTATCGTACTTCCATTCAATGCTAAATGTAATTGATTTGTGGTCGCTAGCACCCAGTTCCTCTGAAACTTCTAAATTATTAACAAGGGACTCCTTGTTTGCCAGAACTAAGTCAAGCAGGATATTTCCCCTTGTAGGTTCTTTCACAAACTGCCTCAAAAAAACAATCCTGAACTACTTCTAAAAAGTCGTTAGATTCTAAATTCCCAGTTAGAAAATTCCTATCAATATTACTAAAGTTAAAGTCCCCTAGAATTACAATGTTATCGTGCCTTGTGGCCTTAACAATTTCCTCCCAGAGTAGTCTTCCTCGGTCTCTATCCAAGTTTGGTGGATGGTATATCACACCTAAAATCAATTTTTCATGCCCCTCTGTTTTCTCTTCTGTACCAGGATGCCATTGTGTTGCAGTGTGTGACAGAGTGAATATCAAAATAGTATACAATACCGACAGGTTGGCAGGTAAGACACTGCTACTACTCTGCACCTCTTCTTCCGACAGTATTTAAGTCTCAAGACTGTCACTTGATCTTCAGTTAGTTCCAGTCTTTGGAACAGAACTTCTCCAGGCTGAGGGACTGACAACCTCAAATCTACGACTTCAAAGGTGATGGACTGATTACATCCTCTTCACCTCTCTACTGCTCCTGCGTACTTTCTGTACTCGACTGAAGAAGCCTATTGTGTAGGCGAAACGTTTCGGAATAAAGTTGCCTAAATGTTTCCTACATAGGCAGCATGTATAGTGTTCAGAAAATTCTCGTATTGATAGCTCTCTTCGTTACTCCAGTCCACAGATGACAAGTGTTCTCTAAGCCCATTGTAATCTGCTAAGCGAAAATCTGGGACGATTACTGAATTATCCCTACTATCATACTTCCATTCAATGCTAAAGGAAATTGATTTATGATCACTTGTGCCGAGTTCCTCTGTAATTTCTATATTATTAACAAGAGTTTCCTTGTTTGCCAGAACCAAATCAAGCAGGTTATTTCCTCTTGTGGCTCTGTCACAAACTGCTTCAAAAAACAATCCTGAACTATTTCTAAGAAATCCTTTGATTCTAAATTCCAGTCATGAAATTCCAATAAATCTGACCAAAGTTGAAGTCTCCTAGAATTACTACGTTATCGTGCCTTGTGGCCCTAACAATTTCCTCCCATAGTAGTCTCCCTTGATTCCTATCGAAGTTTGAGGGACGGTATATCACACCTGAAATAAATTTTTTCATGTCCCTCTGAAAATTCTATCCCAACAGACTCTGTATGTGTTATTTCAGATTTTATACCCGTTT